ATTGTGTTGGAGAGAGTAAATGTCATGAATAAATTTGACATTAAACAATCTAAATTCAATTCAAATTCAATTCAAAAATACTTTATTAATCCCAGAGGGAAATTATATGTTGGGTAACTCATCATCCTGGTTTCATTAAAGAGTTGTTGTAGATGCTGATGGCTGTGGGCAGGAAGGATCTCTTGTAGCGGTCTGTCCTACAACGGATTTGAAGAAGCCTCTGACTGAAGACAATCTGTTGTTGTATGACAGTCTGATGAAGAGGATGCTGATGGTTGTCTATAACGTTCTTCATTTTATGAAGAGTCCTTCTTTGTACAATCATCTCCAAAGTTTCTAGAGGAGTCCCCAGAACTGAGCCAGCCTTCTTTATGAGCTTGTTGATCTTTTTTAAGTCACTTGCTCTGGTGCTGCTCCCCCAGCAGATGATGGCAGAAGAGATAGCACTCTCTACAACAGACTTATAGAAGATCTGCAGCATCTTGCTGCAAACGTTGAAGGACTTCAGCTTCCTCAAGAAGTACAGTCTGCTCTGTCCCTTCTTGTAGATGGCTTCACTGTTGCATCTCCAGTCCAGTCTATTGTCCAGGTGAACTCCAAGGTATTTATACTTCTCCACCACCTCCACTTCTTCTTCCATGATGAAAATAGGGTTGGACCTGTTCCTGATTCTCCTGAAATCTACAATCATCTCCTTTGTTTTGTTCACATTCAAAATGAGATGATCGTTTCCACACCATGCCACAAAGCGGTCCACCAGTTCCCTGTACTCAGCTTCTTGTCCATCTCTGATACACCCGACCACTGCAGAGTCATCTGAATATTTCTGCAGATGACAGGAGTCTGTTTTGTACTGGAAATCTGAGGTGTACAGAGTGAAAAGGATTGGTGAGAGTACAGTCCCCTGTGGTGCTCCTGAGCTACTGACCACCTGGTCAGACACACAACCCTTCAGTCTCACAAACTGTGGTCTGTCTGTCAGGTAGTCTTTGATCCAGGTGATTGTTGAGTTGTTAAATTGAATTGTTACATCATTTTCAGCATCTGCATTTGGTAGCAGGCCAAACTGACAAAGACGATGCAGAATAATGTAGTATTTTAATTCAACAGCAGAGAAAGCTATGTAGTCTCTGTAAGTAGGTCTGGGGGGAGGGGGATACCGGTATTGGTATCGGTTATCAGCCAAATAAGTTTTAACACGTTGACATATCGGATATCTTCCAAAAATCCAATATCGTACATCCCTAGTGAAGACGACTAAAACTGTGCAACATTTCTGAACAGTAGTAAAAACTTCCACCAGAAAACGTTGTTTCCTCATCACGTCCTAATCCTCCTGTTCCATTTTCTCTCTGTAAAACAGAAAGCCATCTGTTTGCTGCAGCTGTGTCTCCGCCATAGATCCTCCTCTACAGTTTCACTAAAACCCATCCAGTGGTTCATGGGATATTTTGCTAACAGAGACAGCGTTGACTCTACCAGTTAATGCCTACGTGTGAACAAGGATCATTCACGTTCTCTCAGCTCTTAGAGTATGTGTTGGGGATGGCTCTCAGCTACTACCATAGCAAATTATAGCTCAGCATCTACTAAACGAAGTTTTGGCCACTTTTGGTCAATTACCTGTGGCAGCCATCTTGAATTGGATTGATTTTAAACATTAATCAGTTGAAGATGTGCATTCAGTAATTATTTACCGGTACTGAGAGTTTCATTGAAAAACTCCCATGGGTCATGAGATATTTTGCTAACAAACACAGACACAGGTTTGCCTTTTATGGTGGAAGGCAATAGAATATGATGACTATGCTGCTTTAATGGATCATCAACACATACTAATCTTAATCTAAAAACATCATATCACCCACACCTGTGAGTGTGCATGTATCCCGCCTACACCCCTACCCCCAACAAAAATACCCTATCTTTTACAATGAATCATTTGTGCTTTTAAAACATATTTTTGGTTTCACATTTAATGTTTTATTTATATAAATGGGCTATTAATAAACATTTTTCTTAAGCATCAGATAACGACGAGCAGTTTTCAATCACTTAGTAACTTTATTGATCCAATCGCACCAAAAATGGTCAGTTTTCCTCGTTTTTCAGGAGTAAATATAAACGAAAAAGTGATAAATTAACACAAAACGTCTTTGCAGAGAATGAATAGCTTGTGTGTGTGTGTGTGGGGGGGGGGGGGGTGCACATTCAAAGGCTTTTGTTGTGTACTTCTCTGACTAAGGTTTCTGCGAGAATAAACAAAGCACCGCACCGTTTCAGTACTTTGTGGCACTGTAAATTAAATGTTAAATTAGTTGGAGTTTCTTTACGGGAGTGATACGTTGAGTCAAACTCAGACAAATGATGATGACATTGCAGCGTGTGTTACATCAACAAGAGGCAGGCAGGCGCTGTCTAGTCCAGATTATTCAACCAGCCAGCACAGGCCAGAAACAGCATGGGGATGTACAAACCGGATTCCAAAAAAGTTGGGACACTAAACAAAACAAGACTTTTAAGTTATCAACCGTGCATAACATCATCAAAAGATTCAGAGAATCTGGAACAATCGCTGTGCGTAAGGGTCAAGGCCGTAAAACTCTACTGGATGCTCGTGATCTCCGGGCCCTTAAAGGTCACTGCACCTCAAACAGGAATGCCACTGTCAAGGAAATAACAGAATGGGCTCAGGAATATTTCCAGAAAGCATTGTAAGTGAACACAATCAACCGTGCCATCCGCCGTTGCCAGCTGAAACTCTACAGTGCAAAGAGGAAGCCATTTCTAAGCAAGCTCTACAAGCTCAGACATTTGCACTGGGCCAGGGATCATTTAAAATGGAGTGTGGCAAAATGTAAGACTGTTCTGTGGTCAGATGAGTCACGATTTGAAGTTTTTATGAAACACTGGGACGCCATGTCATCCGGACCAGAGAGGACAAGGATAGCCCAAGTTGTTATCAACGCTTCGTTCAGAAGCCTGCATCACTGATGGTATGGGGTTGCATGAGTGCTTGTGGCATGGGCAGCTTGCATGTCTGGAAAGGCACCATTAATGCAGAGAACTATGTCCAGGTTCTAGAACAACATATGCTCCCATCTAGACGTCATCTCTTTCAGGGAAGATCCAGCATTTTTCAACACGATAATGCCAGACCACATTCTGCAGCAATCACAACATCATGGCTACGTAGGAGAAGGATCCGGGTACTGAAATGGCCAGCCTGCAGTCCAGATCTTTCACCTATAGAGAACATTTGGCGCATCATAAAGAGGAAGGTGCGACAAAGAAGGCCCAAGACGATTGAACAGTTAGAGGCCTGTATTAGACATGAATGGGAGAGCATTCCTATTTCTAAACTTGAGAAACTGGTCTCCTCTGTCCCCAGACGTCTGTTGAGTGTTGTAAGAAGAAGGGGGGATGCCACACAGTGGTAAAAATGGACTTGTCCCAACTTTTTGGGGATTTGTTGACGCCATGAAATTTGGAAACAACAGATTTTTCCCTTAAAATGATACATTCTCTCAGTTTAAACTTTTGATCTGTGATTTGTGTTCTATTCTGAATAAAATATTAGATGTTGGCACCTCCACATCATTGCATTCAGTTTTTATTCACAATTTGTTTAGTGTCCCAACTTTTTTGGAATCCGGTTTGTAAACAAACAGCACACACATACACACAAAAAAACTCTAAAGTCTGAAAGGAAATACAGAAATATAGAGTGTGAAAGTAAGAAACGGACTTCTTTAGAAAGCACTGAAGATAGGCAACCCAATCACTGCTGGTTTTAAGTGACAGCTTTGAAATGAGCCCGTTTCCTGAAGTGACAGAAACGAAAGTTAAACTGAACTCCGCTGGCCTGAAAGTGGAGACTGTTTCCACCCAGCAGGGGACCGACAAGTCATTTCAAGAAATGGTGATTCAGCTCAAGCATCACGATTGGTTTAAAGCATATGTGTCAAACTCAAGGCCCAGGGGCCAAATGTGGCCCTCCTTAACATCTTATCTGGCCCCCAAGATGTTATTTTAAATGTAAAATACTTTTATCACTTTAATTTTTTTTCAGTAATCTTTGATTATGACGTCAAAAATGCAACAGAAAATGGAAAATGAGATCAATCAAACTCTTGTTGAGGAACCTGCAATCAAGAAAAGATGTTGGGTCTAACTTGAGTTAATGTAGATTCTGAAAACGGCCCTTAGGTTGAAAAAGGTTTTAACTTTGGCCCCCTTTTGTAAAAGGGTTTTTGACACCCCTGGTTTAAAGGATGTCATGAAACATGCTTGGGATTTAACTGACTGGTTCCTAAATGGAGCTACAACGCTTAAGCACAAATAAAAATCACTACTTTCACTACCCTTTAATACAATGATTTGCAGAGTTCATAAACCTTAATTTAATT